AAAACAGCATTTTCAATGTAAAATTAAATGAATAAAAGCCAAACAGGGATACTTTTTTGTTCCAAAGATTTCTTTTTGCACATTAAAAAAAAAAAGAACTGGTCTCACTTACTCACACTCAGGACATGTTGTCCTTATATGGCTTAAGTAAGACTAACAGGCTCAATTATCAACTGAAGGGAAATTAAATACTGAGCTCAGGGTTCAGAACGTTTTCTGCTTTAGGTTAAATATAACAGCTCAGTGCTGCATTACACTGGTGATCCAGGCCCTGCCTCTCACCCTGCCTCTGGTAGCTGGGATAGGCTCCACCCCTGACAAGTATAAGTGGAAGAGACTGGATGGATGGATGGATGATGGATGGATGATGATTTTGGTGCATCTCTGTTCTCTTTCTTTCATCGTCCACCTGTCGTCACTGGTCGGAGCTCCACCCAGCTGTTACACAGCATTCCTCTGCAACCATGTAATTATTAATGTTTCCATTTTTGTATCATGATTAGAGCAGAAGGATACAAAGTTAATAGAGTTTCCATCAGGTTTTTTTTGATATGTTACCAAAGTAATTTTCTCCACTTTATGAATGAAGTGCTATAAGTTGACTTTACCTTTTGTCACTTTTCTTCTGTTCTCTGAAAAGCTTAAAAGTTTTTAGAAGTGTTTTAAAGCCAATACAGGTGTCACAGAGTCAGGATTAAGGCATTAAAATGTGCAGCACACGATCCGCATGTGGCCCTTTGTGCCACACGCTGCTATAATCAAGGACCGGGAGCAGGAGTGTTACAGTGGACCCTCCCACAGATTTATTTGCCAGGCTTATTGAAACTGCTGCTTTCACCAAGGGGATTACAATACAGCCTCATTTCCTCCGTCTTAATCCGGTCATTAGTCGGGTTTTGTGAGGATGCAGAACATTCCTCCACTTCGAGATGTCTTTAATGTGTGTAAATCCGACAGTTTGTTGACCAATAACAACAAAATAATCCATTCTTTTGTAAACAGCCTGTAGAAAAACATGGGAATATTTGGGAGCTACTGAACGCACCAGAGATCTTTGGATGGCGAAGCAGCTGAGCAAACTCACCTGCTGAGGAGACACATCATCTTATGTCTTTGCTGTGACTCCAAACCTACATGTCATCCACAGCCTCCAGCACTAAGATGAACGCTCTTATTATTTACTCTTATTTTCATATTGATCCCGTTCATATCTTCATATCAGTGCTGTATTATCTAATCTTGAGCTGAACATGCAGTGAATTTTTTCTTCTGTAAGTTAGTGTCAGCGGTTCAAACTGAAAGCAGCTGCTGTTAAAACGTTAGATGGAAGTTTTCAGCTGTTTCCAGCGGCTCACTCGTCCTTGTTTTGTTACCTTACACTTTCAGTCTCTCTCTCTTACTTGCAGCACGTGGAGCAATAAGCAACTTTAGGTGGTGCAGGCTGTAGCATGAGTATGCAGGACTTGTTGTTTATAATGTGAATACGACTCCTGCTGTTATTGATTCTGTCCGAGAGATGAGCCCTCTGGGTTTTTCTGATGTTTATGCAGGAGAATGGTGACGCTTGCTAAGTGGAAAAGCGACAAAAAATCAATAGGCAAGGTGAAGTGAGGGGAGTGCAGGCATCTCTTGGTTTAGGGCTTTCTTTCTTTCAAATTCCTGTTTTTCTCCTGTTTTGATGCACTTCAAGGGCTGAGTGAGAGGCCCAGCAGCGTCTTGCTCAATGAGTTGGAGCTTTTCGTCAGCTGAAGCCTTGCGTATGCGAGATCATTGGGTGAATGCTCTCCTCGTCTTTATAACACCCCAGTGTAATAAGCCAGATTACATGCTGGAAGCAAAGTCTTTTTTACAGCGTATGGCTGGTGTTATTATTCACATCCAAATGTTATGCATTAATTTCCAGTTACAGTCCACCTTACGACTTTTACTGCACATTTGTTAATTTAGTAATCACCATTATTTGAATATTTCTGGAGGTGCTTGATATAAATACAATACAAGGACAATTCATGCACTGCTGAAAATGGGAGGATTCAACACGAAGGGTGAAATGCTTTTTATATGAGGTGTATCATCTGGTCCATGTGGTCTGTAGTCATATTGCAGGATCAGGATTAGTTCAACTATTGCATGAATTTCTGATAAATAATGTAATGATTTCACCTCTGGTACTTTGCAGTAATTTTATAAAGAACGTTTAAAATAAGCAGTTCCCAAAATGCCAGGTTATCTGTTATCACAGCCTGTAAAATGAACACAACAACAACAGCAAACACTAATCGTGTGTGATCAGCTGCAGACAAATCAAATATAATCTATAAAGTCTTATTGTCATGATAGTAAGTAAGTAAGTAACATTTTATTTATATAGCACATTTCTAGATAAAAGATCACAAAGTGCTTTACAAGGTAAAAAAGAAAAACAGTCAAAAGTTAACAAAATGCAATTTTAAAAAGATGTGTTTTTAGCTGTTGGTGGTGGTGGTGGTGTCAGGGTGTTCTTGGCACACCTTGGGTCCCTTAATACCATTGACCATTGTCTAAGCACCACACCCTACCCGAGTATTGTTGCTGACTATCTCCATCCCTTTATGATGGGATGTGTACCATCTTCTGTGAATGATCTACACCACTGTAGTTCCTCCACAGTCACCTTGGACGGAGACGTGGAGCCAAAAAACCTGCAGCAACTGTGCGATGATGTCATGTTGCCTCGCACCAAAATGTTTCAGCAGCTTCAATCTGAGCCTTGAAGAATTAAGGCAGTTCTGAAGGTAACAGCAAGGTGTTCCTAATAAAGTGTCCAACAGGTGTATGGTTTCATGAATTCATGGGTGTAGTCGTACATCGCTCTTCTGTCTCTGACCTCGTATTTAATAGGTTTCATATCCATGAGTAAAACATGACTAACTGATCATGTTCATGTAGGATACCTTACATATACTTCTGCTACTACTACATTAGCAGCAGTGTACATGATGCTGGATTAGATGGAGAGGTCAGGAACTGAAGAGGACACAGAATATAATCTGTAATCCAGACCATGAAACGAATGAGGAGGAGAATCCAGTGATGGAGATGATGGCTGTGCTGAGTCTGCAGTCACGTTCAAGTCAGCGAGGCTTTCAGCTCAAACTGTCATCAGGACGACTGCAGAGCATCCTGGATCGATGACATTAAATCCTGCTTTGAACTCTTTCCATCAGACCACAGTGGTAAACTGGACCAGCTTGGAGGGAAACAGACCCCAGTATAACAGTCTGGTACGGGAACTGCTCTGCCTCGGACCGGAAGGTGTTGCAGAGGGTTGTTAAAACTACCCTGGGTCTCCAGCGCTGGCGCATCGGCTGCCCCGGATGCGGTAGCATTGGTTGATAAAACTGATCGTTGGGATTCCATTGGTTTTGAGCCAAGTTTCCCCGATTTATCGGTTCTGGTCGCCTCGGCAGGGCGACCACCCTCCTCCTTTTAAAGCCGGGCTTGGGACCGTCCTTGGCGGAGTTAATCAAGCAGCCTAAATATAGCTTAAAGATATGGGCAACATGCGATGCCAGGACTAATTGTCCCTGGAACATACAGGTGTATATTGGGACACCTGAAGATAACCAAGTGGAGTATGTCTCAGAGGTCTCAAGGGACATGAGATGATAATTTCTTCATCTCCTGTGGTTTTGGTGAGGAGCTGTGTCAGAAGGAAGTGCGACTAATTTCCTCCATAAAAACATATTCTGTCATTTTTTAATGGAAACACAACTTTGTGTGTTTATATGTTTGAAATGGTTTCAAAGCAAATGTTCATAGTAGTAGTTTGTGATACACAGGACACACAATGTGTTTCATTGGATTATTTCTTACAGTCAAAATAGAAATTATGCTTCTTTTTTAACTCTAATTCAGTGCTTAGAAGATCAGATTAGTGAGACATGCGGCCCATAAATAACAAACAGAAGTTTAAAGAACTGTAATATTCACAAGAGCTTAAGTCAATGATAATACTGATAATGTATTTGATGAGTCATTAGAAACAAAATTAGAAACAAAATGAACCCTCGTGTTGTTGAACAGTTTCGTTTAACAACACGAGGGTTCATTGAGACGGCCGTTTCATTTATGCCGTTTCATTTATGTCGAACAGATTAAAACTCATGTCCTGCTCTGTGAGAACAACGCTCCTGGGCTATAGGCTTATTGTTGCTTTAATCAAAGACCCGTATACAGTCACGTGGCGTCGTTCGTGCTCAACCTTGGAAACGACCTCGACCTTCTAAATGCAGCAGTCATAAAAGCTGAACATTTGAAATTCGTTCTTCATCATTGCAGCTCTATTGATAAATGTTCTATAGCACAGAAAACCACGCTGGCAGAAAAAGGCCAGTCACAGCCACATTTTCGCCACATTACTCTGACTATTTCCACGCCGCGGAGCTGAGTGTGTTTGAGAGACTGTGTTGCAAGCTCTCAGCAAAGCATGGAAACCTCTGTTATCACAGCGGATGTCTCAGCGAAACAAAGCGCACAGGCCAATTAGGGAAGCTGGAAACCGCAGCATCTATTTGTACCGTCATGAAAACGCGGTGAGCTGGGCGTGCTGGCAGATCCCGCCGATGGCACAGCAGACGGACAAAGGGCAGGAGTGCCGCTGCCTCCTCTGGTTGCTATGGTGAGAATGGAGGGGAAATGCGTGGAGACAGAGCCGCTGTAAGTAAAGTGAAAGGAGACTGAATTATCCTTCAGCAGGTGGCATCGACGCCGCGTCCCCACCTCCAGGTAATGAATAGCGCCGGCCTTCCTGTACTCACAGGGAGGCCAATAATCTCCCATCAGCCTCCTTCCTCTGCGCAGCAGGTAAAAGACCTCACGCTGCTGATTGACTTGTCGGGTCAGCAGTCATGTGTAACAGCTGACAGTTTGATCATTGGTTGAACAATATAAGTGCACAGATACTATTATCGACATCGTACAACATAATCATTTTGGAGGATCAAGAGAAAGACACAAAGTGGAAATAAGCCCCCTTTATTCAATATCGATTTACATTTTATATAAAAATTACTTACATTTAATACATTTCTTCCAAAATACAAGCAGCCAAACAACATACAAATCAAATACAAAATTATAAAATTTCTTATATTTATCATCTTCCTTTTCTGAAGTAACAGATGTGTTTTATAATAACTCTTAGTAACGGTTTTTGTAGCTGTGGTAAATCTCTTTCTTCTCTCCATCTTTAATCCATTTGTTGATATATGAGACCTAGAAAAATATGATATTCTGTCTTTTCAGCGTACAGTACGGGATCTGGGAATCTGATCGGAAAACATTCAGGGTGGGCTTCAATATCTCTCAGATACGTTTGTACGTCATATTACTGCTGAAACAGGCGACTGAAGATTGAAATCCGTGGAAATGAGAAAGACGGAGATAATGTCTGAGAAACGATTGTGTTGATATTATTGTGTCCACTGCCGGAGCAGAGCTGTCAGGTACAGGGATGCAAATAAAAGGAATCAAGCTCCACTTGTCGTTTGTGAAGCTCTCCGGTCCATATGTCAGATGAAATAACAACAACAGAAAAACCCACGCAACTCTTCTCTACTATACATACTTTTTTTCCCAGATAAAATGAGCCGGCCCTTCCCCTCATCGTCTCCACAAAGCCAAACCGTTTTCCTCTAGAACTACAAACAGGTATGGGTACAAACTCTAGCACTGCATTTTAACTGTGCACAAGTGTGGCTTCAGGTGTTAATAAAGTTTTTGCAAATCAGCAGCTTTACTTCAGTGTCATACAGTATACTGACAGCGCTGTATAATGGATCTCTGACAAACAGAAAGCAAACCATAAGTGGAAAATCAAAGTCTTCAGCACAGCGACGAGGACATTATGCTGATGCTAAACCAGTAAAACCTAAGAGCCTCATAGGAAATAGAAAAATCCTGTTTCCTCCGTCATATTACACTGTGGTAAAAAAAGAAGTACAAAGTGTAAAGTTAGGCTATGCGGCGGTTTCATGAATTGTCCCCTCGAGTTTCTTTGGGAGTAGCTCTCTCCTCTCATCGATGCTGATGACTGGCTTCCGGCAGTTTTGCCCGTCGATGTAGATCTTTGCATACACTGGATTGGAGTAGTTCATGGGCTAAACAGGCAGGGGAAGAGATGCCAAGTAGAAATGTTAATTTATGATATTTTACAACAGTAGGAGTCTCGAGGTTGCATTTTAATAGATGCTGTGGAATCATGAAAGTCTTCATGTCAGATTCACCTCATACAAACTATCACTTACATCAGCTTTAATGAAACCTGGGCTCATTTAAATTCATGTACAATTTTCTTTGTCTTGTTGGCTGAGTTCTGATCCAATTTGAATCCATTTCGATGGATCTGCGCTCTGTTAGCAGATTGTTTAACCGATGTTCCATCACAGGAGGTTTGCTGGAAACAGATGGTGGCTGCATCTCAGCGAAACCAAAAAAGTTTGCAAACTTTCCACAGGCCCACAGATATTAGCAAAATGAGCAACAGAACTGAACTTGGTGCCAATTGTCATTTTTTAATAAAAAGTTGATAATTGGAACTTTAAGGAAAGTTTGGTGGTCTTTGGACTGTAAAACAATTTTTTTTTTCCCAAACCAATGTCACAAAATGATAAAGGGAGCAAGTATATACCAGATGTCAACATTAGCATGATTTTAATTTTACACAGTACTTAAAATAGCAGAATGTAACTCAAATGTAGCTACACAAAACACACAAAGCTTCCTCCCAGTGAATTTATGTAAAAATGGATATTTTTTCTTCTTCTTCAGAGTAAAAAATAAAGTGTGTAACACTCACCTGTCCAGGGATTACCTCCTTGGGTACAGAATTCATGCCCAAGGTGTGAGGGTCGCTGGATTTTACACACCAGCCCTGCAACAAAACAAGCACCATGCCATATAAATAAAGATGAACTCTCACAGTCCAAATACGGGTTTTAAAACTGCACTGAAAAAACAAACTAGCAAGTACCACGAGAGCTGGACGTATGGAGGCTGATTTAGATTCACACCAGCATGTCTTGGTGGCAGACTGGACTCACAATAGCAGATGTCAAAGTTGGCAGCTTAAGAAGCAACAGCATTAGGCTTGAACTTGCAGCAGGTGAGCTACATAACTGCATCTGTGAGGGTGTTAGGATTCATTTGATATGCTGGGAGTTCGTGTGGGGTGGAGAGAATAAATCACCAGACAGACAGACGTCCTCCAGGTTCATGGCATCTGTATATTTTTGCGCCCAAGCCAGAGAGATTGTAAAATCTCTGCAAAGCCTAATGTAATTCCACCGGATGCATCTCAATTCTAAATATCACATCCCAGCAGCTGCCGGGCCAGATGCAGAGAACACAGCACTGAATTATTCTCCAATCTGAAAGACACATTTGAACTGTTGTCCTTGCTCTACCCTTCAATTAAAGACAACATAGCTGCAGCATCAAGGCTGGCATCAATCGAGGTCTAAACAGATTTTCTCATCGCTTTTAAAACTCTGCAGTATTAACAAGGATGTGGTAGTAAGGGATGTACACATGTGGCAAATTAAAAGCAACATTATGCAAATATTTTACAATAAAATAGCCAAGAAACAGTCACGTCATCAGTCAAGTTTGTTACGCAAACTGTTTCTGTCTGTCTGTTCTCGCTCTTTGCAACTTCACTTCATCCTCCCATGAAAAGTGCAAAATGCTTTACGACACACTAATAACTCCTAGTTTTCAGCTGGCTATAAAAAAACTGGCTCGGTGTTGTAACTGCAGACATCAAGGTAGAGCTCAAAGGACCTTGAAGTTGTTGATGAAGAGTCGCTGAGTAGGAGGCTGGACAGTAAGACGAGTTTCATATTAGAAGACTCCTGGTCGACCTTCTTACAGCTGGGCCACATGTATTTCATAGACAATCTATGTAACTGTATATAAAAACAATATAGTGATGACCATTAAGATTTCTCCTCTACATATCCTGATAAAAAGGAGCCAGCATCTGCTGTACTGCCAATTCAACTTATAGGAGATCAAATGGTACAAATTTGTTAAGGTTGTATAAACTTTATTTAGTTGGAAAACACGTGCAGTAAGTTTTATATGTGCAAAAATAGAGAGAAATTATTAAGCTTTCAGTCAAAGGAGCTTGCAAAGAAAAGCGTCTGGCCTTCTTTAAGTCCAGACGCTTTTCTTTGCAAGCTCCGTTGACTACAATGACCTGGATGACTGAGAACCTTCACAGACATATTAAGCTTTCAGTATTTAATGCAGCAGAGACCTGCAGACGCTGCCCAACAAAAGTTACATTGAATCAAATATGAGATGAAAACTGAAACTGATGAGTTTGTAGCTAAATGTAATTACACTGACATTTGTATCTGAGAACATACGAACAGATTCAGCTGAATGTTTAAGCCCCACTGAAAGGTCCTCATTAACTTTTACTCCACACGTTTGATGTCTGGTTTCAGCTCGATAAAGTCAAACACTGAATTCCATCCTATCAAAACAGGAATGAGGTGTTGTTCAGTGAGCACACGTGACACACACACACACACACACACCCACCTTATGAGGGTCAAGTGTGAAGTTTGGGCGCAGCAGGCTGCCTGCATCAGCGTGGTTGTCGTGGTCCACTTCATACATGTTGTATGACGGGTTCCCAATTTCCACGTTTATCCCTCCGTTGGTCATGGGCTGCCTCTGCACACGCTTGCCCCTGAGCCGTGCAGAGCCCATCATCATTAACACAACACACAACATGCTGTTAGTGTGCTGCTGCACGATGCTACTTGGAGCATATCACTTTGTTAGACAGCCATGAACGATGGATTATTATCACAGGCTCAGAGTTCAGATCTCCTACTGAAAGCAAACTTTTCACTCATAAAGCAAAAGCATCCATTCATCTTCAAAGCTCTGCGATGCTGGAGCTCTCATCTGTTACTGCTTAGAAGCTTCTTTTTCTTACATATTTCTTTATCGACGTACCTTTGCCTCCGGCGGCAGATATAAACACCTGCTACGACCATCACAATCAGGATGACCAGCAGGACCAGAGGCACAATGATAGCGATGCTCCCTGGGGAACAGAGAGAGGAAAGGCGGTGTGACGTGATGAGCGACCATCAAAGGGGCTGAGATGAGTTCACGCAGTGACCGCGGCGTGAACAGAGCCACTTTAAATAACAGCGTTTTTACTTCACGGGGCTTTGCTGTTTACATACGTCCAGCACAGGCAGGCTGCACATTCACATTTAGAAATGTAAGACATTTTACACTGACATGCACGACTTCAGAATATATATATTTTTTAAATCTTAAATTGAAGTTGAAGACAGAGGAGTCATATTACTGAATCCTGACGGGCTGGCGACTACAGCCCCTCTAATTCAAACAAGGAAACCCCGCTGAGCAGAGCCCTTTGTGCTCAAATGATGCAAACCGCAGAGGTTGGTAGGAGTTCGGTAGTTCGATGCCAATCTGTTGATGTTCAGATGTACGAGTTATCGTTCCACTGAAATGCAATAAGGTCAGTGAACCAGTGACACATGCAGGTATTCAAACAGGACATTTTAAGGCTTCTTGACATTCCCAGTCCTCACCTCCGCTCATATTGTCTGATCTGCTGCTTTTAGGGGCGGGTCTCTCACACTGTGTTCCTGCCCAATTGGCTGAACATCTGAAGGAGGTCAAAAGAGAATATAAATAAACTATCATTAGCATACTTTGGCTGCAGAGAGGCTGCTGAGAAAACAACTTTGCAAAATGATCTACGACATGATGTGACTGTGGCTTACACATACGGCATACGGCTTTGATTCAACACAAACAAAACACCACCTGGAGAGAGAGCACTAAGCACATACATGTGTCCGTAAAGAGCTTAATGTGAACTGACATGTTGAATATTCAGTGTATTAACAAAAAACAGGAAAGATCAAAGGATGACAACAAGTCGTCATCTCATTTGTGTTCCAATGGGATCCAATGGGCGTGATGCATGACCCGTGTTAGAGGAGGTGACGTCCGATTTAGCTGACGCTAAAGCATGTAAAGCATGAGTGATCTGGTGGGGGCGGCAGGGTGATGATAGGATGAAACTATCCTAAATAACATGCACTTGCAGAATCAGAACATCAGGCTTTGACAACAACTTTATTAGGACATTGGGCGTAACCTGGGTCTTCATTTTCCCGCCTTTGAGAAGCAAAAACCAGGATGGAACTGAGTCCCTTCAACAAAGAAACCCGACTAAGCTGTAAAAGTTAAAGGCCTTAAATATGAACACCGATTAAAGATGACATGTTCTGCCGAGTAAATTATGTGCAATGACCGGTCAGGACGTATTTAGCCATCATGCACAGGCTGCAAATGCACTGATGCCCACATCACACACACAGTGTTATGCTGTAATCTTCCCGTGGTTCATGTGTGCAAGGTGACGCCTGCATGAGATGGGTGGCAGTAAGAGGCAACAAACGTTATGCAGCAGCCGGTGATGTAATAAGTGCCCCTATATACAACGTAGTGGTGCTAATATACATTAGCAACATCTTTATCTAGCATGAAAGACTGCTGGTGCTGCTACTATCTCTGTCACTTATCATGGAAATAAGAACCATATTTGGCTTTAAGCAGCAGAAGCATAAATAGCATCCTGTACTGTTACTGCTTAGCTTGGCCCACCAGAAACAGAGCTACAGCTAGCTGTGTCCTAAAGTAACTAAATAAGCATAGCAATATGTTTAAAATAAAAACTATTTCCTGTTTTAAAGTTGTTTAAATACCAAAGGTTAAAATGAAATACTGTCACATGTAACTACTCAGCAGAATTTCTACAAAATTCTGTTTTTGAACCTTAGAACAGAAACAAGCACACGTCTCTAAACGTATCTAAATCAGTGCTGTAATCAGTGTTCGACCTAGAAAGGCTGTCAAGTATTTTCTTTCTTACTGCAGCGAACGAATTCAACACGTGTTGGTGCTAATAATAGTCACAAATATAGTCATGTTGTTTCCATACAGAAATAAATATAAGTCAACATATTCTAATAAAACAATATTATAGTATTCTGTGTGATTCCACCATCTATGCTGAGTCATTACTATATCCAGGACTTATTACATGACAAGCTGCTACAAGGAGGCACCATCACAGAGAGGCCTATGTGCTGGACTGAGGCTGAAATGAAGCCAAATGGAGTGGGGGTGGGTTGTGTACAAAAGGAGGTGAGTGGGCGCTGAATACAGCTGGAGAGGTGAGAGGGACCTACTTGCAGCGTGGTTTGTTAAGAGCTGTTAATGTGCACATCCCCTCATTCTGACAGAAGTAATCGCAGGGGTTGGCCAGCTCATCACAACGTTGGTTCTTGAACCCTGACGTGCAGCTGCAAAACATGTGTTTGGAGTGACAAAAGGGCCCAAGAACTGTTCAACTGTCGGCTGCCCCATGAGTGGCGACAGAACGCTAAACCCTGTTAGCAGCTTAAGTCATAAGATGCAACAAGACAGTGTGACGTCTGCAAATTAGCAAAACAGATCAACAAACGTCCCTGCTCAGCACGTGAGGGGGACACGTGTGGGGCCTGCTGCAGATTACGAAAACTGTTAAACAAGAACTTTGGGCCCCAACATGATGGTTGTTTGCATCCACATAAATGCATCTAATAAGCAAAAAACAGAAAATACATTTAGTTTGATTAAACAATATAAATGACAGCTTACAGGGGAAATAATGATTTGATTCTCTGTTGAATTTGTGAACATGAACAATCTCTCAGACTGAAAATTAACCTGAAACACAAAAAAGCAAATTATATAAAAGCGCTAAATGAATTTGCATGTCATTAAGTGAAACACGTATCTGATCCACTGGCTCTCACAGACTGGCTGTGTGATCGTGTGCCATAATCAATCAATCCATCCATCCATCCATCCACCCACCCACCCACCCACCCATCCATGAATCAATCCATCCAATCAAGTGTTCTGCTCCAACCTCTGCACCACCAGGTGAGACCAAAGAGTGTCAGAGGTCGACAGACTGGAGACCTGCACAAGGCTGGAACAGGATACCATCAGCGAGAAGCTTGGTGAGAAGGTGACAACGGCTGCTGCGATAATTTGGAAAGAGAAGAAAAATAAATATGTCCTCAGTCTGGAGCTCCATCATGGGATGCATCATGGGATGAGGATGATCACCAAGGTGCTGGATCAGCCCAAAGCTCCACGGCACAGGTACAGGCCCGTCTTAAATTTGTGAACTTCTAAATGATTCAGAGAAGGCTCAGAAAGTGCTGTGGTCAGATGAAACCAGAACTGGCAACAGCTCAGCCACTGTGTTTGCAGAGGTGGAAACATTATGCTTTGGGGATGTTTTTCTGATGGGGTACAGGATGACTTTGCCTCACTGAGTGGGCCAATGGAGAGGCCCACGCACTGTAACATCTCGGACTCCTTCCCTCGGCCAGGACACTGACAACTGGTCATGGACGAGTTTCCAGCATGAAAAGGACCAAGTCAAATATTTATTTCCATCACTGACATGCAAATTCTTTTATACCTTTTATGTAATGTTTGTGTTTTTCTGGATTTTTTGTTTGATAAAAACTTACAAATTTAGGGATCAAATAATTGTTTCCCCGCGGCACAGCTGACTGATGGATATTTCTAACTGTAGATGCTAAAATAACTTTGCTTTTGTGCAGAAAAGGAAAAGAGCAACAACATAAAGTCATACAGTATATAGCTGCTTAACAGGAATGTTTGAACTTTGTTAGACAGCAGTGAAATGTTGAGGTATTCTCTTCGCATACTTGAGGTTTTTAAAGCAAGAATGATTGCAGCCGTAGCAGCTCTGCCCGCTGAGCTTTCTTCTTTAGGTAGGCTTGATGAAATATACATTTACTCAGAGTATTAAGGTCAAACATTATGATTTCTTGACGCCGACATATCCATCATCTCACATAATCTCTCATCTTGCAGCAAATGATAAAGCGCATTATCAGGATCTGTTAACCTCAACGAATAAGATGAAATCATTTGCATAGAAATTGATTCTATTCCCTGGAATCTGTGAGCGGCGCCTGCAAATTTCAATTTAACTACAGTGGACAATGAGCATTTAAAAAAATTGAGAGTTGGCCTTTGAAATGATTTTCCAATTTCCTCCTTGGACAGATTTTTAACACAGCACTGCGAGTGATTATAGCAGGAGGTGGTATTCATTTACAGGGAGCCCTCTGAGTAGCCTTTCACAGCGATTTCTTCACGTGTGCCAGTCGAGCTTTTGTCTCGTGCAATTTTTCGGGCTTCGTGGCAGCTGAACTACTGAGGAAACTTCTAAACCCTCTGACTGAAGAGAGCCACAGAGGCCTGACATCAGCTCTCAGCTGCAAGGAGGAAAAGTGTGATATGTTGAGAATAGCTGGCTTTGAAGGAGTCTGAAACCATCTTTATCTTCCTAAAACCTTAAGCCACAGCGAGGTGTCACACGGCACAGGATGCTGTACGGCACTCGGCCCCCTGCTGTTTCATGGCCTCCACATAGTGACATCAAACCTTCAACTTAAGGATTTCTTTCCAAAGGAAGACATCTATCTCGCGCGGCGACTTTCAGTTTTTAAAGCCGGGCACAGAGCCGACGCCTGAATGGAAACAGTGATGTGAGTGTGAATAACAGAGGAGAACATTGAGTTTTTCCTTACTTTCACCATTAGGCAGGGACTTACTGACAGAAAGGCAGGTTGGTGTCAGGGTCCAGGTGGCAGGTACCTCCATTGTAGCAATATCCGTCACACAGCTGACAGCTCGGTGCTATTCTGCCATTTGTGCAGCTAGAGGGTGAAGAAATAATGGATTCTAGTTACAACCAGAAAACTATACTTACAGGAAGCAGAGAGTTCAGCCAGCTTCAAATTCACTGACATGACCAAACTTAAAACGCTACAGGGTACGTGGCCTTAAATTATTGATTTAATTAAATCAATTCTTCCCGCCGGCAGCCTGTAGGTGAAGCAACTGAGCCCTGAATGAACAATATACTGTTTAACTTGTGTTTTTCCATGAATAAAAATCAGCTATGAAGCCTCACAGCCAAAGGGATGATGGACAAGAGTGGCGAGTAAATACGGAGCGCTCACTTGCAAACCACTTCTCCCGTCTCCTCGTTAATGAGGCAAGGAGCTCCGTGGCATCGGAGACACTTGTCCACCTCGCACTTGTTCCCTTCAAACCTGGCGGGACACACACACTCCACGTAGCCGCTGCTGGATAAAGTGCAGGCCTTGGAGTTCACGCAGTAGTGATGACAAATGTCTGTTTTAGGTTTGCAGAGATAAACAGAGAGAGAGAATAATGTGGAAACACAGTCTAAGCTGATTTGATTAGAATAGTACATGGTTTTAATGGGACTTAATTATCCACATCAAATGATATCTTAGCCACAGATGAAAACATATCACCCTTTGGGCAACAGTGGGAAAAACTAATGATGTGCAGATGAAATTGTTTCCCCGCAACACATTATGTCAAAGCGCAGCAAAAGAAAATACATTATCACCCCGGCGCAGAAACACCCAAAGGTTGTTTGATGGTAGAATTTTGATTTTTGTTTATCTGCAAATTGAAGCAAATGTGGTGTTTTTGGAAAGAAGAGACTTTGAGGGGATTGCTTTTGTCTCTCGCTCAGAGTGGGAACTCTCAAACGCTTTGTTCTGTGGATTTTTTGTGACATAACTGAATTCAAATCAATGATTTTCTTTTGATTAGGTGCTACTGGCAGTCACAGGCAGCCAGGGGAACATCAATGACTGTTTGTGTTTGTTTGCTGCCAACAGGACTCACGATAAAGACAGCGGTCCCCGGTATACTCGGCCATGCAGCGGCACACCGGCTGGTTCCCGTGAGTGACGTCGCACGTTCCCCCATTTAAACAGTAATTGTCACAAATCCTTTTCTCACAAAAAGGCCCTGAGAATCCGACAGGACAGCGACACGTGGGCTTTCCTGGAAAGAAATATGAGCATAAAAGATTATTAGAGCACGGAAAGATGGAAATCGGCAACGAACTGATGAATTCATCCGTCTCAGAACTGCTTTAGTTTGTTCCACAGAGCCAAACTGCTGTGCACAAACATAACGCATCCACACGCTCCAAACTGCCTCGTGGCTGTAAACACAACTGAAAACAGACCTACACAGATGCACTTCATATTTACATGGATATATAGGGCTGTGCAAAAGTCTTGAGCCTCGCCTAATTTCTTTATAGAGAAAGAATTTATTCTTTTAATATTCTTTATATAGAGAAACTAACTTTTTTCAAGTCATCTTGAGCAATAATTTCACTCATTTTCAGTCACATCACTGCAGCTGATGATTTTCAAAGGTTTATTTTCTTCGGTTTATTTGCTGAGCTGAAGATAAAGAAGATAAATAACTGAACCCTGTGAGACCCAACACATCACAAAATAGCCAGAAAATTCAAATTCTTTGGAACTGAGATGTTTATGAACCTTTATAACTTTTTTTTTTGCTGTATCATCTTGTTTTTGATATCTTTTTATTATATATTTATTATATATTTTTGTTTTGCATTTAATACATCGGGTGTTTTTTGTTAACAACAATGTTAATTTTGGACCAAAAAAAAGAGTTTTGCCCATAACACTTTGACATGCACGGGCACTTTGTTACCAGCAGCATCAGAAAAACATTTAATTTGTTCACAATGAAAGAGTGGCTGTCAGCTATTCTTAATGAAGGGAAACAGGCAGAAAAATCTGAAGTATGGCAACAGAAGTAAGAACTGGACTGAATACTAACGGCAGCAGGTCTGATGATGATGAATTCAAAAATTTGAATGGAGTGAAAGAAGCCTGGAGAACGATTCCTGCAGGCTACACATAGACATTACGAGAAAGCAGGCTGCTGGGTGGAGACAACCTGTATGCTGTTAAGGCCTTGGGCCATTTTCTGGGTCACTTCTGTTGGTCTTACATCCTGTCTTCTATCTACTGTCCTAATGCAATAAAGTCTAAAAAGCCCCAAAACAGATATAACAGAAAACATAAGAAAACAAATATCGACTTTCAAGCTTGTTAAAAACTCTATTTCTGCCTCATATGCTGCATTTCCATGCATGTAGGGATGGCTCCCAGTAGTTCAATTCCTTGGAATTGTGAGCTTGTTTGTCTATTGATTCTCCTTATCGATTCCAGTTGGTGAGTCGGAGCAGGAAACAGTGGTGGAGCCTACAGTGTGGATATAAACATGACTTTTATTTTTATTGCACAGAGAGGCGAGAACATGATGGTGAAGTGCAAACTGCATCCAGGACAGAAACAACCACATCATGCTGCTAACACAACTAGCACCTGCACAGGCAGCATGCTAATGCTAAGCTAGGAGTGACTGCTGACCCCAGACCAGCAGCCACAGTTAAAGATTGTATAAATGCCTCGGTGTGAAACTTTGTTACAATCCTCACACATGGGTAAAAAAAAAAGCACAGACTGAAACGATCTTCACACAGACCGTACAGAAACACATGTGCTGCACGTTCTGATTATTTTTTACAATTAGAGACGCATGAGTGTTGAAAATTGCCTCCTTGTGCGGGTGATCTCAAACAGTAACCTTTCAATCATGCTCGCCGTTTTAATAAAGGACAAGCGAGACCAGGAAACAAGTTCAAGGTGTGTTCAGAAAAGGTAACAATTGAACACTACTTACACAGCACACAACCAAGTTGCCATGGATACAGGTCTCGCCATGTAGGTCACACTACACCACTTGGTAATTTCACACTCTACAGTTCTGTGCCTGGAATAATCTGACTGAAAAGTCCATAACTCAATAACTGATGGGGTTAAATCTTTCTGATTAGGCCAAACGTCACAGCTATGAACTCAGCTGTTCTCTTCATCTCTGTAAAACTAAAGCGAACATTAGTTCAAGTTTTCACAAATACTGATGCCAACTGGTTTTGGATGCGTCAGCAAGCTGCAAGTTTTACAGACTTCTTACTTATGTTTCTTGAATATTGAATATTATCTTATTATGGGATGCACAAATCAAACTGTTTCAGTGCTGTTATTTAGTAATATCACTAAAATGTTACAGGAACACAGAAAGTGAATAATACTCTTCTTGCCTATTCTTCTTATTATAAATGGCCAATGCAATTGTTACCATAGGAACATGGTAGTGTAAACACTGAAATGAGCTCAAACTTCCTGGTCCACCTTTTGCGATCGTGTCACTGCTATGCAGATGACACCCAGCTCTATCTGTCCATGAAGCCAGATAACACACACTAATTAGTTAAACTGCAGGAATGTCTTAAAGACATAAAGAC